TTTATTTTATTGTAGGTCAAACACTGAACTTTTTATCTTTCCTTTGTTCCTGTTCAAAAGCAGGCACATAAATATTTCGATCGAACACACTTTGAGTGGGATATTGTAGACTTTCTAAGCGATTCTAATGAGAGCGAGTTTCAAGATCTAGATCTCAGTCAGAAGATAGGAGTTTATCTAAAGTCTCTCGAGGCCATCATGGATGCTGATGAAGGACAAAGGGGTAAACGAGCAAGGGAATTGCATGATAGATATAAGCAGGCAAGTTTTTACTTTGTTATTTTGGTTAAAAAATATAGAGAATTTGGTGGCGTGTGGAGGATCTATAGGGTCCTGTATCATTCAAGTCTATAGGGCGAGCTACGAAGTTGGTGTTGGGGCGGGGGCAATCTATAGGGTTGTCTTACGTTCAAGACTAAAGGTTGACCTGGTGGGATGGAAATAGAATGGAGAATCATGAAGTACTAGTCCAGGATACTACTAATTTTCTAAGTCTTCTTAGGATTCTCTGCCCGATCGTAAACGAGCAAAGGAATATGATCAAAAGCGTGGACTAGGATGTGAACCTTCAATTCATATTAATATTAATAATTCAACAATCTCTGGAAATATTCAAGGAACTGGGATCATTGAAGACACTTCGCGAAAGACCATAAAACCAGGTAATATGTTCAAACACATCTAATTATGTATTTAACCTTTTCTTATTGTGCGGAGTAATAGCTTTGAAGCAGAAGAAGTTATCCAAAAACTGTTTAAGCGAGAAAGAGCCAGTCACAGATGCTGAAAATAGTCCGTTTTTTGTCTCCGAGCATGGAAAGGGTTCGAACACTAATCAAAACGAGGAGGATGAGGTATGGCAAGAATGTTTTTATCAAAATTCGGACTATTTGTAGTCAAAATCAGGGATATATCCAAGATTGTATTTACTTGGTTTAATCCTTTTTCCTGTGAACAACATATTAAATGTGTATATTCACAGGAGGTATTAAATGAAGAAATCAAATTACCAACTCATACTCATACACATAAAAAGTAAAAATTATAGGTGACAAAGTTAAGAGAACATAAAAAGCTCATGTGTATTTTCTATATTTAGATGAAAGCTAGTGTGTATGTGACTAGTGCCCCAAACACCAGACCAAGAAACAATAATGAAAAGTCTTCCTCTTCTGATGTGGAGCCTGAAGATGATGAAGAAATAAAGTTTGACTTTACAGATATTGAAGAGGAGTTGCAACAGGAGCCGATCAATGAGGTATGCTATGTCAAGATCCTGGTTCTTGTATTCTGAATATCTCACAGTTTGCTTCCATTTTTTAGTGGGAAGTTGGTGCCATCAATGTATCACAAAGATTTAGACAATATCAGATAGAGGTACTTGGGAAGGCAAAGGCTAGTGGTTTGAAATATAATAACATTTATGAAATCTTGTAAGTATTCAGAGACATGTAACATTGACTATAATATGAGATTATATTGAGCATTTTTCCTTGTTTGTTTTAGAGCCTTATCATCAATAATGGTGTTCTGCTGGCCCTGCCCATATCCTATGTTTACCATTCAAGAATGGGAGGGAATTATGGCAACTAATCCATACAAGATTCAAGAATCCCCACTTTCACAGGAGATTTTATCATCCCTTCATGAAGCATATTGTAACCATTTTCTTGGTAATGATGTCTTCATAAATGGTGGTAATTCAAAAATAAGTAGAGCAGTCGCATGTGCTTTTAATGATCTGTAAGTTTACTCATTTTATAATATCTTTTACCTATAAATTTATAGCTCAATTCTTTTTTTAACACATTTACAGGTATAACAGCATCCCAGATGTTGCTCCACCAAAGATGTCTGAGGATGAACACTGCTACATGTTTCTTCATCCTATCTCTCGTCCATTATTTGCTGGTTCAAGAAAAGAATATGAACTAATACTGAATTGTGCCAACACAGGTTCAAAAAAAAGACCAGACCTATCTTGCACAGTAGATCGTGTACCAATTCTAAACTCAGAATTTAAACCTGTTGGTTGCACACCATTACAACGTAAGAAAGATGGGCTGAAAGTACAGTTAAAAGCACGAAAATCGATAAACCAACAACTACAAAGCAAAGGAGGTCCAGGTGAAGCTGTCATATTATTAAATATGGGTAAGTCATGAGATATTACAAGAAAGGTTGTTATTTTTGTATATATTAACTCCTGTGATAACTAGGTGATTTGATGCAATCATATTTTATGAATTTGAAATATGACGGACTATATTGTTCCTGGCCGTTCCTAACTACAAAAAT